CAGAATGGTTTTTGCTTCATCATTTCTTTACTATATATATCAATCAAACCAAAGAAAAACAAGACAAAGAGGCCATCAATGGGATGCTTTTTTGCTACAATTCTTCACATCTCTTCCTTCTTCTTCTTCTCCATATTAATACTCTCCAACGCCATGACAGACACCATTACTGCAAATCAAACAATTGGAGTAACCGACACCATTGTTTCATTCGACAAAAACTTCGAGCTCGGCTTCTTCACTCCCGGGAACTCCAACAACTTCTACTTGGCAATCTGGTACAAGAAAATCTCAACCGGAACAATCGCCTGGGTCGCAAACAGAGCTAGGCCGCTCACCGATTTACTCGGTGTTCTAAAAATCACAAATCCAGGAATTCTGCTTCTTCTCAATAGCACTGGCAATGTAATTTGGTCCTCGAATTCATCGACAACAGTTCAGAATCCAGTGGCGCAGTTGTTTGACAATGGAAATCTTGTCGTGCGAGACGGAGATCAACCCGAAAATATTTTATGGCAGAGTTTTGATTATCCTACAGCGACTTTTCTCCCCGGAATGAAATTAGGAAAGAATTTTGTATCGGGGTTAGACCGGTACCTTACGTCCTGGAGAAGCATTGACGATCCTTCTCCAGGAAACTTCACGTACCAGCTGGACCCCACTGGATATCCCCAGATGATTGTGAGAACCGGGTCTATAGTAAAGTTCCGGTCTGGTCCATGGAATGGGCTCCGGTTCAGCGGGTTACCAATGTTGAACCCTAACTCGGTTTATACATACGGGTTTATTTCCAATAGAGAGGAGATGTACTTCCAGTTCCACCTCGTGAACAGCTCAGTTTTCACTCGGTTGGTGTTAAGTCCAACCGGGCTAGTCCAGCGGTTCACGTGGGTCGAGCGGACCCATGGGTGGGTCCTCTACTCATCTGCCCAAACCGACAACTGCGACAGTTATGGGCTATGTGGGCCCTACGGTAACTGTATAATAAACCGGTCGCCGCCTTGTTGGTGTTTGGATGGGTTCCAGCCGAGGTTTCCGACGGATTGGGAGGGTGCGGATTGGTCAGGTGGGTGCGATCGAGCGGTGGCTTTGGAGTGCTCGACCGATGGGTTTGTGAAGTACAGTGGGGTGAAATTGCCGGACACAAGAGAGTCATGGTTCAATGAGAGTATGAGCCTTGTTGAGTGCAGGACAGTTTGCTTGAAGAACTGTTCTTGTATGGGTTATACAAGCTCGGATATCAGAGGAGAGGGAAGTGGGTGTTTGGTTTGGTTTGGGGATTTAATTGATTTGAGGGAGTTTAATGAAAATGGACAGGTTATATACATTCGTATGGCTGCTTCAGAAACAAGTATTCAAATATTTATTCATCTAATGTTGAACTAAAAGCATTGGGATATGAGGATGGGGAGAGCCATGTCCCAAAATTTTTAATTTTTTTGAGGTTTTACTAGATTAGAATATCCTAAAAAATATTGAGATAATTTGAATAATTTGTTTTGCAACACACCTAATAGATTATTCATGGAAAAAAAAATAGATAGATCGGATATGAACAACACTAGAACAAATTAAAGTTTTTTAAAAAAAATTTAGAAACAAAATTATTTTTTAGGATTGAAATATTTTAATTGCCAAAAGTATTATTGTTGCATTTTTAGCCACGAAATGAATTATTAACTTTTTGAGACAAAATCTTTTGTCTAAAATTTTTTTGGCACCAAATTGTTAGTGCATTGATTTATTATCGACATTTTTAAAATTTTGTTACAATAAGTCTTTTTTAAAAAAAAAAAAAAAATTTAATGACTAACTTTTTAGACAACCCTCCTAACAGTAAGAATTGGTCCCAAATATTTTTTGTAACAAAATTTTTACTTTTGAGTCTCTAAAACACTTATATGTAAAAACATATTTGTCTTAAAAATATTGAACGGCAAATGTAATAAGATTATGGAACTACTGATGTCGGATTAATCGTTTTTTTATTTTGCATGAATGGCTTACTTGATAGATTCTACAACCAAGAATGGGTTGCTTACAGCTGGGTTTGCTGTGACAACGGCACAATAGGGGCCCCAGTTCTCATTCAATATGCTATTTGTATGGCAATGTGCACAAACAGGAAGAGTGTTTTATACAGATGATTGATTTTATTTTAATCTATGTTATAGGGTTTTATTTATTTATTTTGTTGTTAACACTTTCTTTAAAAAATTTAGGTGCTGTAATTATCTGAGTGTTTTCTTGCTTATAATTGGGCAAATTGTATGTTTGTGAAGATGGTTTGACAACTCATGAACGCTCCAGTCCAAATAAACAAAAGAGGGTTATAGCTGCCTCTGTAACATTTGTGGGTATTCTACTTCTTGGTCTATCTCTGGTTTTTTGGGTTTGCAAGAAGCAAAGGAAACAAGGCAAGTCTTTTATTTTCTCTACTTCTCTTTACTTTCTCATTTGATTTAATTTTAGTTACTCACTCAATCCTTATTTGGTTTTCTCATTTAAATGTGATGTGATAATATGGTAGATATATTTCATTTTCTTAGATAATTTTCTATGCTTTTTCTATGTGAGCATCATTGTTTCTGTAATAGAATAGAACAAAATATAGTTGGTTTATGATCTTCTGTAATTATTCTCTACAATAATTTCATTGTGGTATTTTAACGATCAAAATTTAAAATTATAACAAAGCCACATTATTTTAGTTTTGTAGTTTAAAATAAAAAGAGAATATTTTAATGCTATTTTATTTTAATTTTAAATTTAGGTCATTAAATTATATTATTTGTTGACATGTCTTATTATGATAAAAATTACAATAAAATTATGCAAAAAACAAAAAAGAAAAAAAGAATAACAGAACGAAAGATGGAAGGATAGTTATTTATTTATTCATTTTTTATATATATATACATATACCTTCTCCAATGGCTTGTATATATGCAGAGGAGAACCAGAAGGAGTTTGAGTTACCTCTCTTTGAATTGGCTACAATCGCCAATGCAACCAAAAACTTTTCAGAAGATAATAAGATCGGAGAGGGTGGATTTGGACCAGTGTACAAGGTAAAATTACAATTTATATGCTGCCTAATTCTTAGAATCAAAGTGACAAAGTAATCATTTTCAGGGAATATTGATGGAAGGACAAGAAATAGCTGTGAAGAGGCTTTCTGAAAATTCAAGACAAGGACTTGACGAATTCAAGAATGAAGTTATTTATATTGCCAAACTTCAACACCGAAATCTTGTGAAACTCCTTGGATGTTGCATTGAAGTAGAAGAGAAATTGTTGATCTATGAATACATGTCTAACAAAAGCTTGGACTACTTTATTTTCGGTTTGAATATCTTAAAACCCTTATATATATATATATAGTTTCAACAATTTTATTAATCTAATCCTTGTCTATTCCATTCCTAACTAGCATCATGAACAACTAGAATCATGATATATTTTGTTAAAAAATTTGGCAGATCAGAAGCGTAGCATGTTGTTAGATTGGCCGAAACGCTTCAATATTATTGTTGGAATTGCACGAGGACTTCTTTATCTTCATCAGGATTCTAGATTGAGAATTATTCATAGAGATCTAAAAGTTGATAATATCTTATTAGATAATGAGATGAACCCAAAGATTTCAGACTTTGGCATTGCTAAAAGTTTCGATGGCAATGAAACTGAAGCAAAAACAAATAAAGTGGTTGGAACACAGTAAGCATATTTACGAATGTTGCTTACAAAAAATACTCCACTTATATTTAATCATTTATAATTAATCTTTCTTTCTTTTTTTTGTTGGTGTGTAGTGGTTATATTTCTCCAGAATATGCAGTTCACGGTGTCTACTCTGTAAAATCCGATGTGTTTAGCTTTGGGGTATTGGTGCTGGAGATATTGAGTGGAAAAAGGAATCGAGAATTTGATCATCCAGATCACCACCTTAACCTTCTTGGCCATGTAAGTCTTCAATAATTATTGCCAACCCTATATTATAAAAGAACGTGCTTCTCTTTACTACACTAGTTGTGGAAGGCTTGTAAACTCCACTACGAACTCAGGTATAGTGCGGACTATAGGCCTTTCACAACCTGTCACTAGATAGGGATACTCTGGAGAGAAACATGACACTATTTTAAAATAACTGAAAAATAATTGTGAATTTGTTTAGGCATGGAAACTCTACATAGAAGGAAGGCCATTGGAATTAGTTGATGAATTAGTAAGAGGATCATGGTTTGAATGTGAAGTGCTAAGATCAATTCATGTCGGACTACTATGCGTACAACAATATCGAGAAGATAGGCCGAGCATGTCAACTGTGACAATGATGTTGGGTGGTGAGGGCGTGATGCCTCGGCCTAAACAACCAGCATTTTTTGGAGAAGAGAGTCCACAGGAAGTAGATTCATCATCCGAAAGCAAGAATGTAACGTGTTCAACCAATGAAGTTACCATCACAGAGTTAAAAGCTCGATAATGTTGACATTTTTGCAAGCATGTTGAGAATTGAGGTCTTATAATATTAAAATGTAGAGTTAATTGTATTTGTTGGTAATGCTTTAATTTGCAAGTCAAAATATGAAAATGATTGTATAGTGAAACTTCATTCATCAATTGTGTTTAGATTTGGAACTTTTTGTGATGCCCCAAAATCTACACTAAGGGTTGTAGTCAAGGGAAAGTTACTAATGAGTCCTATGATCAATGAACAAGTAAGATCCCAGATCGCCGGAGGAGTCAAATTAGCCTCCCTTCTAAGTCCAACTGATTTTGACAGATCTTAAGAGGTAGGGGAACTATATTGGTTTTTAAAAAGACAAGTGTATAATAATAAGAGAATAGATACAACATATCCTTAGTTACAAAAGACAGTTCCATCGATATTACACTCCAAAAAAAAAAAAAAAAAAAAAAATTCAGATGGACTTTACAAAACAAAAAAATTCTAGCTTCTCTATGACAATCAAAAGTCTTTGAAAGTTTTCGGCTCATCGTTTTCTGCTGCAAAATCTTCTTCGGTACTTGGCATGAAACGCCATGAACTTTGAATGCTTAGTAAATGCACACACATCCTGTCCCTTTTTCCCAATCTAATACACAATAGGGGAAAGAAACATGATATTCAAGTAAATAACAAAGGTTATATGTTAGTTGTTAGTAGTTTAGAAATCTCCCAAAGAGATTTCATTCTCCCAACCACGAGAATCGAATACGGATTATTTGACATGCCCCCTCTTTTGCTACTTTGCAGATCTTACCTCGGATTTTTACCAACTGTTACATAACATGTAGCGCCAACCGAGGACCTCAAAAGAGACGGTAAAATATATAGAGCCTTGCCCATTCTCTTATCACACAAAAATCACCAAGGGTTCGAATACAACTATTTTGCTCAAGGGTTCTGAAACAATCACTTGCGTAAGACTTTAACTTTCAAATAAGGAACGTATCCCATCAACCAATCAATAACTCAGTAACTTGTCCGAAAGTTTGCAAACCCATTATGTAACAACCCGAAAATTTAAGTTGATCTTTAAATTTTATGCTAGTATGATGGTTGTAAGTGATGATATATTATTAAATAAATAATAATAAATATAGAATCTAATTTGGCATTGTATTATCAAATATGAGATTAATTAGGGATTATTATTTGGGGCCAAATTAACAGAAATATAAAATTATAATACTAGTTGGGCCAAATTAAAGTAGTATTTAATCATAGTTAGGAAAATATATAATTTATTTTGTATTATTATGTGTAATTTTGTAAAATAATATAATTAGTAAAAAATTTAGGGGTCAAAGTATAAATAAATAAATATAAAAGTAAGAATAAATAATAATAATAATAATAATAATAATAATGGGTGCAATAGTAAAATAAATAATTAATTTTCTATTAGTATACGATAAAGTGTAATTTAATTAGGGATTAATTTAATTATATAATTATATTAGAAAACTGGGCTAAAATGTAATTATCTTAAATATTTATATAAGATAAGTATAAATCTATATAATTATGAATCAAATCTTGGGGAAAGATATGCGTTGGCCACGTGTTGGCCAACCAATGCTCTCACCCCCTTATAAATGGGGAGGTGATTCAGCTGGGTAAAGAAAGGAAAAGAAGAAAGAAATAGAGAAAGAGAGGGAAAGAAAGAAAGAAAATGAAGGAAAAAATAATGGAAGCCGAAAGGGTCTTTAGTAGTGAAAAGAAAGAGTAAGGTATTACTTTTAAGGTGTGTTATATTATACCTTGAGTTACCATTATATGTTTTACGTATGTTTTGACTTACTATAATTTATTTTATACAAATTACGTTTTATAAATTATTATAAACTACATCAATATTTCAGTTACGTGGATTAATTTCTGAACTCTATTTGTTAAAATGAAACCCATGAATATGTTTGTTTAAATTTTAAATAATATTTGACTATGACCTTATAAACAAATATGTTTTGTAAGTACCACCACTGAAGTCTCACGCCTTGGAGGACTTTATTGGCTTCTGTTTGGTCTCTTTGTGGCCTTTTGTTGTCATGGATCTATTGACCTCTGTTCTGTGCGGAGCAAAGTGCTACACTATTGTAGGAGCCACCTTTATAATCCGTATGAGCCATCTCTTGAATTCGTACCTCTGTATTGTTATGAATCCATTGACCATCTGATTTCAAGTGTGGAGCAAAGTGTTGTAGGAAACTAAGTGCTACACTGTTGTAGGAGCCACCTCTAGAGTTCGTACGAGCCACTTCTTCAGTCCATGCATCTGTTCTGTTCTATTCGGTACCGTGGTAATGGTTATTTATTTACATAATCTCAGTTTTGCTACTTAAATAATTATTTGTTCAGACCAAGTTATTTTAAATAGCTATCCATGGTTATTTTGTGTCCTTTATACTCTTGATATAATATTTCTCACTCTGTCATGTGCTTATAGATGTTTACCAATTTTTAGGAAACAATGCAATTCAGAAATAGCTTTTGGAAGGTCTTAAACGCAGGGCTGCGGAATAGACATACACAACACTTTTATGATATTTTTATATATAAATATCGGTCTTTTTGGTCAATACATTTTGTAATAAAAATAGAAGCTCTGTTGATTATTTTGGTACCTTCACTTAAATATTATTTCCACTCGTGTTTATTAATTTGTTCAAGAATTGGCCGAAAGTAATTTCAGTTACTGGCCATCACGATACTTAACCCTTGGGTACGGGGAGCGGGTCGTGACACATTACCACCCATTAAGTTTTCCGTTTAGATTAATGTTTTAAGTTAGTTAGCACAAGCAATTGAAATAAAATTTTCATAAATATAAACATCATCAAAGGACTAAAATAAAAGGTATATAACCATAACACATGCAATATTATACTAATACATGATCATATACTAATAAGCATATTCATAAAGGTAAGTGCATAGAACACCAATGCAAAACTAAATTTTCAGATTCAGTATCATTTGAAAATTAAACCAAAAGGGCCATTTCAAATTTTTCCTAAGCCTGACCTTTCTATGGTTTGTAGAGAATTTTATCTAGTTTTCAGAACATTTTTTAGAAATTGAATAGCTTTTCTAGATTTTTAGTTATTTAAGAAATACTTCAGCGCTGTCCAGATTTTTCAACCGTTACGAAAATCAGATTTTCTTTCAAACCACTCACTCTTTTTCAGTGAAACCAATTTTCTTTGAAAGATAACTCTTTAGGGAAGTTTTTGATATAAAACTGAGGTTCGGGAGAGTTTCCTGCATTTTTCTAGAATTTTGAACGTTGGCTATAAAAATTGATTTTTCATGCATAATACTCAAAATAAGAAGATTGGTGAGAAAATAGGCCAACTAAGGGAATTTTCTCACTTATTTTGTGATGAAAACATACTAAATAATGTATCAATAACTCAGATTTTTAGAGTGACGGTGTGTCTTTGGAAATAATGGGAGACATGGAAAGAAAAAAGTAGTTTTGCATCTATAAAGAGAAAATATGAGCAGAAGAAGGATCAAAGCTCAACTCATCCACCCTTGAACATATGAACACCATTATAACACATATGAAAATATGATTTTAAACTTCTAATAACATGTATTTGAAAAAGGAAATAGAAGAAAAGATGATGATGTAACTTACTTGAGGCTTGGTTGAATTGCTAACAAAGTCTTCCCTTTCTCTACTTTCCTTCACCAAGCTCACTCTCTTGCCTCCTCTTTCCTTTCAATCGTGTGGTGTTGTTGGAGTGTGTGTTCCTGTGTGCAAAATGCCAAGGGAGAGGTTTTATTTATAATAAAATTGGTGCAAAAGGTCCAATTTTGTTGGAAATGGATTGGATAGTTTGGATTTAGTTTGAACTCAATGGAATGTAGGATGATTAGAGGGCTTAATTATGCAATTAATCATGATCTAGTTAGGCTTTAGTTAGGATGGAACTTGAGGTGGAAACAAGGTTTCATGTTTTGGGGTGTACTAGAACACATTTTCTATGAATTCATGGATTTTGTTTGAAAAAATATGCTTTTCTTTCCTAGGGTGGCCGGCCAAGATGATGATTTGGGAAGATTATTTTGGGGCTAATTAATTTAAATAGGTTTAAAGGTATAAGTATATATATATAGTGTACAATTTATTTAAATAGGTTTAAAGGTATAAGTATATATATATATATATATATATAATAGTACTAACTTGGGGCTAATTAAAATGTGAGGGCTTTGGCTTTAATTTATAAATTGGAACATTTATTTAAGTGTAGAATTAAATTAAATTAAATTAGGGTTAGAGAATCTAATTCGGTTTATATTTCTTGTTTTGAATAGAAAGGCTGTCAATCGACGAACATGATGAAAATCGGTAAAATCTAAGGTTTCAAGTGGTAAATCCATATTTAGGGAGTCATTTAATTAGTATTAGGGTATTGGAAATGATTTCTAAGTTATCGAGATCGATTTGGGTTTGCGAGTTTTCGCTTCTAAGGTTAAAGTTGAAAATATTTAAAAAATCAAGGGTCTTCATTACAATATTTAAAAAATAAGAAACTTTTCAAAAAATAAAATTTTCAAGGACCTTACACGTTTTGCTTCAAACTTTCACTAGGGTAGAACATGTAACAATTATGGCAAATTACCTGCCAAAGTTCATCTCTTTCTATACTTTTCTAGTGTTTGGGATGGATATGGCACAAAAGATGGGATACGACATGGAAAAAGATGATTTGTGTGTACATTATTTTTACCGATTTGGGGACATGACAAGCTTGATATTTTTTTTATCAATTTGTCCCAAGTTAGACCATCTCCAAAGTTTAACCAAATCCATCACCAAATTCAAATTTGGTGAAAAAGTATCCTTTTTTTAGTCTCCAATGGTTTTATCAAACCTGTATCAAATTGAGAACATCTCAAATCTTTCACCAAATTGAGGATGTCTTGGACCTTTCAGCAATTTATTGTGCATAATCGTTGAGTGTGGACCGACTGGACGTCCGACCGGATGTCCCTCCGGATGACTACCTCAAGGCATAATTTGTAAAAAATTTATATTGACTGGTCGATTGCCCGGTTGACCCCTAGATGAAAGAAAGCCTTGTTTGATCAATGATGTGGGGTTTTTCAAAACAGAGTTTTTCGATAATCTTGGCAATGGACTTTGTTTAGAAATAGACCTAATTGAATATGAGAAAACTATGATGAGGGTTCTTGAAGATTCCTTGATTCT